TTAGCAAATATTTATTCAATGCTTATTACATGGTATGCATTGCGTTCAGTCCTAGTGATAAATAAAGGCAGAAACATTCCTGCCCTCAAGAAGCTTTCATTTTAATAGGAGAGAAAATATGTGTGTGTGTTGTGTGTGTGTGTGTGTGTGTGTACGTGTGTGTATGTAAGTAAATACAGAATAGATGGAAGATAAGGAAGATAATCTTAGAGGGGAAGGTATCTGGGGTGGGGAGCCCCAGTAAAAGCCTTTTGCTAAAGGTGGTGTCTAAGCTGAATCTTTAAATAAGGCAAGTATTCTAGACAGAAAGGAAGAGGTAGAACATTCTAGGAACATCAAAAGCAACCAATCACAACATCAAAAGAAATGTCGAAGGTCAGTGAACAGAGCACTGGACCTGGAATCAGAAAGATTTGAGTTCAAATCCACCATCAGGCATTTAACTAGCTGACTCTGAGCAAGTCATTTAACCTCTGTCTGCCTCCATTTCCTCATCTGTAAAATAGGGATAATAATAGTGCCTACCTTCCAAAAATGTTGTGAAGATAAAATGGAATAATATTTGTAAAGTACTTTGCAAACTAAAAGCACTATAGAAATTCTAGTTTATTATTATTATTATTATTATTATTATTATTATTATTATTATTATTATTACAATGCTACCCATCCATTAGGGCTATTTCTAAGCCATTTTCTCAATAAGTAAAGGCTTCCTGATACCCCATGAGTTCAGAAATGATCTTTCCTTTCTCAGACCTTGCAAAATACTCCGTTGGTATCCTTCCTGTTCACTTAGTTCATATTTATTAAGCACATATATGTGCCAGGCACTATGCTAAACAAGGAGTACAAAGAAAAGCCTTCCTCCCTCAAAAAGGCTCTTTTTCTCAAAAAGCTCATAGTCCAATGATGGAAACAATAAGCAAACACATATGTGTAAACAAGATACATATAGTTTAAATTGGAAATAATCAATAGAGAAATGGCATTGGTATTAAGAGGGATAGGAAAAAGGATCTTGTAGAGATGAGATTTCAGCTGGGACTTGAAGGAAGCCAGGAAGCAGAGATGAAGAAGGAGAGTATTCGAGGCATGGGGAGCAGCCAGTGAAGATGTCCAGAGTCAGAAAAACAGATATTATCATCATTTGTGCATACGTACATATGAGGCAAAGGATGCCATTAGAGAGATGTATAACTAGAAAAGAAGGTGAGCTAATTACATTGCAGTAGCAAGGAATAACGAATGGGCAGCCCACCTGCTCCACTGATGTCCATTTAATGTTAAGAGAAACAGAGGAACACTCTCCCATGGTAGGAATAAACTTTATGGAGATTTATAGGAAGATCTGGACAAAGAAATACAGGATGAGAGAGCATGAATGGGTTGCTATTTGTACCATAAGGAAGACTACCCATATCCAATGACATCATAGATCTAATAAGGTATTCAAATATCCTAACTCCCTCCACTAGTTTATAAGTTCCATGAGAACAAGGACCATGTCTTATCTTTGCCCCTCCCCCAGAGTATAGCCAGCACACTGTATATAGCAGATGCTTACGAAACATTTGTTCAATAGGACAGATTATAATAAGTCCAAGGAAGGTTATTATTTCAAAAATCAAGGTGTCATCAGATTTGTAAATGATCAGTAAGCCTCTTTAAACTTCAGTATTACAATTATATTATGGTGTCCATCTAGAGAATTAATTGGAGGCTTAGAGCCTGGTTCAAGCATTTTAATCCTGGTGACTTTATTACTCAGAGTACTATTGATAAAAGTTAATTTGGCAAAGGTTTTAACTTACAGCCTCCAGGCAAAGAGAAAGCTGTTCATCTACAAATCCACGAATGCTTTAACAGGGTATTTTCTTCTCCATGATTTGAATAGGATACCACTGAAGCATGCATTCATTTATGGGCTGACCAAAGACCCTCCCATAAACAGTAGAAGTCAAATAGCTCAGCAATGGAGGACTTGGAAATGGTTTTTTCCTCAGTGTTTCCACATTCTGTGGTTCCCCCAGGGATTTAGTGAAAAAGAGTAACTTTCTTGAGGTTTTCACACCAATCATTTGTCATATGTAGATATCCAGAAAGCTCTTCAAGGTGACTTGGTAACTAAGGCAAATAAGTTTTTCCTCATCAATATTTCAGGTATTAAGTAAGCAGGAAAGGCTCTGTATGATGAAAAAGTTTAGTATTACCTAGGCAATTTTAATTTATTCTCTAGATATGTAATAATATAAGAAAAGAATATAATGGAACAAGATTTGAAGTTGGAGCCAAAATAATAATTATAACTCCAATTCATGACATGTTTTACAGTATACTAAAGCAGGAGGCAGAAAGTGATCAATTTGGAATGAGAGGACCTAAGTTCAAATCAGGATTCTGCTGCTGACTAGCTGTGTGACCTTGGGCAAGTCACTTGACTTGGGTCTCTGAGTCTCAGTTTCTTCACATGTAAAATGGGGGAGTTGGACTAGATGGCCTTTGAGGTCTCTTCCAGCTCTATATCTCTGCTTGTCCATAGATTAACTATGAATAAATAAATCAATAGTGTAAGTATTTTAAACCCATGCTTGTAAATGAGAAAACTGAGGCTCCCAGAAGTGAGGAGACCTGTTCATGATCACACGGCTAATAAGAATTTGATGGAAAGCATGCAATTCTGGTCTCCTGACTCAAAGCCCCACATACTAGCCACTGTTGTCCCATAGAGGGCTTAGCTTTCAGTACCCAAGTCACCATGCAATAGATTTATGACCCTGGATGACTCAATCTCTCTAAGCTTGTTTCCTTATCTGTAAAATTAGGGGTAGGGGAATAGCAGTTTGGTAGCTGGATTTGGAGTCATGAGATCTACCTCTGTTACTATTTGTGTGATGTTGGGCAAGTCATTTATGTCTCTGAGTCTCATCTAGAAAATGAATAGGTTGAATTGAATGATCTCTGAGGTCCTTTCCATCTCTAAATAGGCTCACAGGTCTAGGGCTAGACATCTCATGATCTTTTCTTTCAATGGTTATCTCACAGCATTGTATTAAATGAATAAGTGTAAAGTGCCTTTGGGGCAGCTAGGTGGCACAGTGAATAAAGTGCCTGGCTTGGAGTCAGGAAGACTCTTCTTCCTGAGTTCAAATCTAGCCTCAGACACTTAACTAGCTTTGTGACCCTGGGCAAATCATTTAACCCTGTTTGCCTCAGTTTCCTCATGTGTTAAATGAGCTGGAGAAGAAAATGGCAAATCATTCCTATATCTTTGCAAGAAAACCCCAAATGGGGCCATAAAGAGTCAGACAGGACTGAAAAATGACTGGACAACAACAATAACAAATTTCTTTGTAAAGTGCTACACAAAATGTGTGAGTATTATTAAGAGTGGGAAAAAGATGTGGAATGAGGTAAATGATCATGGAGATGAGTAATAAAAAAGTGGGAGAAAAGGGTGAGATGTCAGCCCTGTTTGAAAATTCATTAGATCATCCCTGGAAATGAGATCATGGAATCATGGATTTTGAGCTTAAAGGGATCAGCTAGTCCATTTCCCTCATATTATAAATGAAGAAAAACAACATAGAAGACTATTGACTTGGCCAAAGTCACACAGGTAGTCAGTAGAATAGCAAGGATTTGGACCCAGGCCCTCTAATATCAAATCCTATATAGTTTATTCAGAATCCAGATAAAAGCAATGAATCCCAAAAGCAACCTTACTCAGAACTCAAACATCCATGCAATGCAGAAACACAACATCTAAGTGGAGGTCAAGAATTTACTCCGGGACATTGACTCTATGTAGATAAATAAAAGCAAGGAAGTAGCCAAGAAGTATTTGGTTATCATTGTGCAGCACTCAGTCTGATTCAGGATACTGCTATTTCCAAGTGGTTCTGTCATCCTCAATGATCTTCCTTTTCCTCTACCCTCCACTTGGCCTTTCCTTTTATGCATCATGTGTGGTCAGAATCCTAGAAAGGGAAAGAGCTCATAACCAATGTCTTGTTTCCAGAATGACTTCTGCTCTTTACATCTCCCAAGAATGTGTCTTACTATCAATAAAAGAGTCTGGTGGATGGATAAGTCCTTTCAATACCTTGTATTCCAGCATATATATGTGATATCAATCAGCTGTATGCAGTATTTCTGGGGTACAAAGCTGAAGGAAAATATTGAGTATTACCAAAAAAACAAAAAAAAAGCAACTATACATTCCCGCCCCCTCCCTGCCCCGCCATCTAAAGGAGAAGCCCTGTGATATTTAAAAGCCCTTGTTCCAAGCTACACAAAGATGAATTAGTTCAATGAAGGCAAATTATCTACTAGAGAATGCACATAAGCAGTACCTGTCAGATGGTAACCTAACTATGTATTTAATTGCATGCCTATCAATACCACGACCTCCTGGCTTTCCTCTTCTTTCCTACTGGCATGTTGTTTTTTCTGCCCGGTCAAACTGAGTGTCACTCTAGCATTTAGGAGGAAATGCTTCAGATCAGACAGAGGAATGAAGCCAAACTTGCCAGAATCACTTTTCAAGGTTTCTTTCCCAGTAGCAAACTTTTTCAAAGTCAACTGTCTTCACTCACACACCTCAGTAAGTTATCTACTATTTCACAGCATAACCCAAAGTTTACAACTAAACCCAACCAGCCATAGATCAGTGGTGGAGGGGGAAGGGGGAAACAACTCTACCCTTTGTCAACAGACTATCCTGTCTCCTAACTGGGCTTCAACAATATAGCCTATTCATTCCCCTAATTAGAGAAAATGATATTAATCAAATGAAATAAAACACAGAGAGGCAGATTGGTGTAGTTCAAACGATAAGAAAGGTTCAAGAATGCCATTAAAAATACAAGTGAACATTAAAACCGGAGACAAATCAAATCTCTCTCTCTCCCAAGTGTCATGAAATAGAAAGAAAAAAAAAATAAAAAGAAGCCGTTAGTGGCTTGCAGAAAAACAAGACAAAATCTCCAATTACTTACTTAACTAGAGTCGGTCTGCAGAGGTATTCCATGCAAACATCACCCTTTCTTGTCCAGCTGCCAAGTGCTAAAGCATGAAGTGAACGAACAGCTGTTTCCTTCAAGACCAAGCTGTGTGTCTTAATAAGTCACATGCCCCTTCTGATAAATACGGCTGTCGTTCCAGGAGGTCAGAAACTGAAGTTCATTATTCTCCTTATTAGAAAACCTTTTGCTAACACATGGGCCGGTTTTGGCATTTCACAGTTACAGGGGAATGCATTCCACAGCTTGCTTCTTCTCTTCAACCCCCTCCCCCCTTTTCCTCTTACCAATCCCTGCTTCTTTTAGTGACAAGCACCACACAGCTGATCAGTCACACTGTAGGGCAGGGCCGCTGAAAATGGAAAGTTAATTGAGTATGTGCCAAGTGGAATGGCTGAAAGTTGGATGGTTGGGGGTGGGGGGGCAACAAAGGAAGGTGAAGGGGAGTTTCTCACTGCACTCACCTTATCTGGGCATATTGGGGGCTTTTATCAAGAAGGCAGACAAAATGCAAATTGCCTCACTAGATAAAAGCAGAAATAGTTTTATATTCTCCTCTCTCACCACCTCAAATCAGGAAAATCTGCCTTTTCACTTTTGCTTTAATTAATTCACTTTTTAGCTTTCCAGTTTGTATGGAGATTTCCTGGGATGGAGTGAATTTGCCTGCAGGAGACCCAGAACTCAGCTAGTGAAGAGGAAAGAGCCCTAGCTTGCAAGTCAGAGAACAGTTTCCAGATAAGTCTTCTCCCTTTGCCAGTCTCCAATTCATGCTCTGTCACTTGGGACCTGTGTGACCTTGTGCAAATTATTTTAGCTCTCTAGACCTCAGTTTCCTAATGTGCAAAATGAGGGATTTGGGTCACGTGATGCCTGAGGGCCCTTCCAGCTCTACAGGTACCATCCTATAAGAGTTTAAGGTCAATTTCATTTTTTATTCATTTTTCTCTTAAGGTTTGTACGGGGAAGCTCTTCTAGAAGTGAAAAAAATATAAAAGACTTGCCGACCCCAAAGACTCAAAGGAATGTAACAAGGACAGAGCCATGGACCAAGACTTTTGCAAGAGGGGGATAAAGCAAAAGAAAATCAGAGAGAGAGGATGCTGGAGGATATAAGAGTTAGGATTTCTCTTAAGAACAAAAGAGAATATTGCATGGGATTGGTATTTGGTATTATAAAGACTAGATTTTCTGAGAATGATGTGTAAAATAGTGGGGGGGGTGTTGTGTGTGCGTGCGTGTGTGTGTGTGTGTGTGTGTGTGTGTGTGTGTGTGTTGTGTGTGTGTTGGATGGGTGAGGAGGGAGAAAAGCAGGGTTAGATGAAGTGATTAAGGCCATCTTGTGATGTGAATGAAAACAGATTTCAACTGCCCTTTGTATTTCCTCTCCTGTAATAAACTTTAAGGATGTGCTACTGCCCCCTTTGGTGTAATAATAGAAGGCAGCCTGCCACCTCTGGGCTTATTCTCCTACCAACTAAGGCACCAAATACCATCCCATTCAAAATGCCACATAGTTAAACTCAACCTCTGGTGTGAACTGATTTTCATTCACGGAGCAAAGGAGAGAGGGGAGAGAGACCCAAGGAATGCCCAAAATCTCAGAGGCTCAAAGATGGAAGAAACATCAATCACCATTTGGTTGAACGCATACTATAACAAGAATGCTCTCTGCAACTTATTGGACAAGTGATCGTCCAGCTTTTGCTTGAAGTTTTCTAGTGAGACCCTAACCAAGACACTCCAAGGTAGTCCATTCCACTTGCAGTAGCTTTAATTGTTGGGAAGATGTCTCCTTGTATGGAGGCACCTAGGTAATGTAGTAGATAGACTGTTGGAGGCAGGAAGACCTGAGTTCAAATCCTACTTCAGACATTTATTGGCTGTGCTCACTCTGGTTAAATGACTTAACCATTGTTTGCCTCAGGTTCTTAATCTGTAAAATGAGGATAATAACAGCTTCTATCTCTCAGTGTTGTTGTGAGGATAGAATGAGATAATGTTTGTGAAGCTCTTTTCAATACTTAAAGAATTGTACAAATGTTAGTTATTATTAAGTCTAATCCTGTCTCCCTCAAGATTCATGCAAGCTCCTTGAAGGCAAGGTCTGCTCAGTTCTGTCTTTGTAATTCCAGTGCCAAGTTCAATGCCCATCACATAGTATGTGCCTAATAAATCCTTGTTAAATCAATGAATTGCTCCTAATTCTTTTCCCTGGAGCCAAACAGAATAAATACAATCCATTTACAATATGGCAATCAATCAAAGGCTTAGTGGCAGCAATCCCATTCCCCACTAATTCTACTTCTTGTAATAAATAAGGGCAAAATGACCTAAAAAAGATAATGGATGGGCTTAAACACACAATGATAAGTGAAGATCAAATCATGCGAATCCTTAGATCAATGTAGGTAGCCAAAAAAGTGGTTTGGGTCACCCAGAGGGATCTTTGGACAAAACCGTCAAGTTTCGCTCTTCACCCTGATCAAAACATGTAATTTTTAATTTCCCGTGTTATACAGAATAGGAGCCACCTGTGTAGCCAATCTTTCAAACTGGACCCATTCCAGAGAGGCCTAGGCTCTTAGAAGTCAAAGGGGCCTTTAGATTTTATCAGTCCAAACTGTTTTTCAGAAAGTCCTTTGTAAGTTTTGAATGAATATGTGTGTCTACATAAAAATATATGTATTATCATTTTTGTTTTTGTATTTCAAGAACAGTATCTAGAACATAGTAAGCGCTTAAGAAAAGAATTTTCATGCATTTATTCAAGGTGATGATAAAATACAACAGTTTGTAAATATCTGTGTAAAAATATAAGAAAAGCAGTAGTTAGGTAAAACCAGAATCATAGTCATCTAGCCTTTTTTTTTTCTTTGCAGATGAAGAAATCAAGGCCCAGGAAGATTAAGAGACTTGTCTCCCTGGACAAAATAGTATAATGATGATAATAAATTACAGGCTAATTATAAAATGAACTTACATTTCAATATTTTCATCCAATTATAAATTTCAATATTTTCATCCAATTACAAATTTTATCCACCTACATAATAGTCTGTAAAACATTAAATATAAAAGACTAGCAGGATAGCCGCTTGTCCTCAAACATTTTCTAACTGAACTCCATCAATTGTTTAGTCATAGAGCATCAGAGCTGGAAGGAACCTTAGAGATCTTCTAGTTGAACCCTTTACTTTGCCATTGAGGAAACTAGTCAAGAGAGGCTAAGCAACTTGCCCTAGGAGAAATCAATTGCAAAGAAATCTGAAGAGTGATCCAAGAAAAAAAAAAAAGCAGTGGATGGAACACTGGGCCTGGAGTCAGGAAGACCTGAGTTCAAATCCTGCCTCAGACACTTACTAGCTATGTGACCCTGGGAAAGTCACCTAACCCTGTTGGCCTCAGTTTGCTCATCTACAAAAACGGGCTGGAGAAAGAAATTGCAAACCATTCCAGTATCTGTCAAGAAAACCTCAAATGGAATCATGAAAAGTCAGACACAACTGAACAACAATGATAACATTTCTGCCTCCAGATCTAGCTATCCACTCTAACATCAACAATGCTTATTGATTGAGACAGTAAGGTACAACTTCAGTTGGCAACTGGCAAACTGGCAAACTTGAATGAATTCATTTTGTAAAACTATCACAGGATTAAACAAAAGAGGAATGGCAATTTAATATGACTAAGTAATTTTTCTATCATTGGTAAATTAGAGGCTAGGAGGAAGAGTGAAAGAAGCCCTTTCTGGGTCAGCACAAACTCTTTGGAATTATCTAATACCCTTCTGCTTCCTATCTGGGCAGAACCAAACAGAAGAATATATCACATTCCCAAACATGAGGAAGGCCAATCCAGATGTCACACAGGCAGTATATCAGTATTTCTTTGGTATCTCCTCTCTCATTTGCCCTTGAACTATATCCCTGGGAAATTCATTGAATTTGATCTCTGAAAACTTGATTTTTCTCTTGATTTCTTTTCTTATTCATTTCTCACCTTCATCTTTCCAATTACAACATACAGCTTAACATAAACCATAAGGACCTACCTTAACTTAGGTCCTTTTAAACATACCCTAGCCAAAGCTGAATTTGAGTGTAAAAACTAACATTTACCATTACCAAATGCCTTAGCTACTGTGTTTACTTGAAGGGTTCTTTCCTCAACTTTTAAGAAATTTAGAGATAATAATCAGTGGTGACATCAATTGAAATACCAACCTCCTAAAACCACTTTTTCCTTCAAAAATTCCTAAAGTTCCTGAAAAGTGTTGTATACAGTAAAAGTCTGTATAAAAGCTGTTTCAGGGTCTATGTTTTTAAAGTAGAGGGAGAGAGAGAGAGAGATGATCAGAAGATGATGTTTACATTAGGATTTCATTTCCTTTCAAGTTTCAGGTTTAGTGTTTAAGTTCATCGTTATTTATTTCCTCCTGGCTTCAATTCAATTAAACAAACATTTATGAAATTCCTACTGGGTTCCACACTCAGTGCTACGGTAGAGTATATCACTAGGTCCCAATTAGTGTAAATAATGAATCCCCTGAAGTGGTTGCACGTATTTGAATTCACACTATTTGAAGTTATAATTATATAAAATATGGCAATTGGTTCCAATCCAATGGAAACACACAGCGAGAATTTGCATAATGAGACCTCTTTAAGGGGATTCAATGTTTGAACTAATTGGGTCTCAGCTGTTTATTAGGGAATGCAAAAGGGGGGGGATAGGATACAAGATGATTGGGAAAGATTTGTTCAAGGCAACATTATTTTTTTCAATTTTTCTCACAATGTGTATGGAGAAAACATAGCAGAGGAAATTTCTAAGCAAATATGGTACTTCTGAATCAATAGCAACTTGTTTCATTCATGGAATAAAAGTTGAACACTAACAATCACTTCCTGTAACCAGAATAAATTATTTTCATCCAAGTTTAGAGTTGGGGCCTTGTTTTTGTTCCCAACAATTACCTAATCATAAAGGTTAAGTGCATGTTCCAAAAATCTTAGCTAATTCTGCCCATAGAATCAATTACCCATCTGTCAAGGCTTCTTATAAATCCCAGAATTTGAATCAAGGATTCATGCTACAACAAAAAAGATGTCATTTCATTGGTGGGAAAAAGGACCAGCTGATCATTCCATCTGCTTCTATACTGCTGTCTGACCTACCCATTTAAATCCATGATAGTCCAAAATCTGTATGACAGAGGAAATGTCCTGGTATAGAGAGAGGTTTTGCTGTGGTTGCTATTCAGTCACTTCAGTCACGTCT